TCCATAAATATATACATGCAACAGAACATAAATGAACAAATTAAAATGCATATAACTCATGTTATGCGTTATTATTTCATTTTATCATGTGTCCTTTCTTAATTTTATACCTAAGGGAGTCTTTAATACCCAGGATTAATATCCAGTTACGTGGAATGGGAGCTGAAAGGAAATAAGGTGAATGCATATAAATTATTGGACGAATTAGATAAATCATTCAAACTTTACCTCAACAATAGTATTCTTCTCCTGAAGAGCTATATTGATTGGAAAATGAGCATACACCGACCGCATTTTGTATCGGAATCCTTTAGTAACACCTTTGATCATATTTTCTATGTGCGAGCAAACGGTACGAATAGCAGCAACTTCTTTCCGTATTCCAAACCATTTTCTCACACGGATTGTATTTTTGTTAATCTTCTCGATCTCCATGTGCAAGTGTCGAAAATCCCTTTTTAGTACACCACGAGGACCCTTGACGGTTACCACCCGTTTGTTGACTGAGAACGTAACACCTTCCGGGAATTTTACGGTGTCGTGTGACTCGATGAGTTTCATCTCTTACCACTGAAATTCCGTCTTTATAATAAGTACAGTGATTAATTCCACTAGTCGAAATCATAGCTAATTACTGATAAATATATCAAAACGAACAATAAATCACTTTTATATGGAAACCAGTGAACATAGCGTATCTCCTAGTTCTTATCCATTAATAACAAGACTTCATGCGCTTATTCAGTGTAAGTCAGTGGTAAATTTAGGAAATCAATCTATACTATATTTTTTCGCCATCTAGTAATAAGCGACTGCATTATACATCGCTCATCATGTAATGTAAAGAATGTCGAGAGAATGCAACATATAATGAACAAGTTAGCACTTTGCTCTTGTCATATTTATATCCAACCAATAACAAAACAATCTATATTCTAAGATAGCGTAATCATTTAGCGAGCCTAAATCCCTAGAACTAAAATGCCTGGCGCCAACATTCCCGGAATTGAAGTCCAAGACTTTCTCGGTACAATTTAAGTGGCACCTACCAGGCCATAGGACCTGGAAACCTACAAACCAACTGTTCACCTACTGGTCAACTTCTCAAACCAAGACGGTCACAGTGCAATACTTATAGGTCTCATCGTACAGCAACCTTCATGATCATCACTCTCCGTCTGTTTCCGTCGGGGAATGTGGGGACTGCGAAAATTCTTCATGTTTCTTTTTTTGTTTTTCAAATATCTAATTATAGGATCAAGAAAGGATCATTGAAAAGGTCTACAAAACGATCTAAAGCGAACAATGCGTATCAAAAAGAAGGTTACATCTTTCCGGATTACCATTTATTTAAACTTTCTTGTGATACTTTCCATCACAATCTGACTGAATATCAGCTTAATCTTCGAAATTTGAGCTCATTTCTGTTTACGCAATGAAACTGAGCTAATGTGAACGATGTCAGAAAGTGAGTATCTATCATTTTCAGTACGAATCCGGTGCTGCCACTAATTACATTACTCGAGGACGAGCATTAAAAAAACTACAGCTGTCGCTGAAAGATTTTCGTCGTCTTTGTATTCTGAAGGGAATTTATCCTCACGAACCGTTGCATAAAAAGAAAGTTAACAAAGGATCAACAGAAAATCGAGTATACTATTATGCTAAAGATATCAATTTTCTGGCTTCTGAACCGATTATTAAAAAATTCCGGGAATATAAAGTATGTTATTTCTGTTTGTCCTTGTGAATCTGGATAACATGAATTGAGCGGGATAGTTCAACGATTGACAATAAGAATTTTTTTTTTAAAGATTCAGCTGGTCCAGCGGCTTCATTTAGGAATTAAAATCAAAAGTGAACGGCTTGTGTGAGATTAACTGAAACAAAACTACGTAGGCATATAGTTTTTGTTTTGTCAAGCCTAGATTAGATTATCCTTTCATCTTTTAGATATTCTTGAAAAAACTGACGACAGCAAAAGCGAAACGAGATGAAGAACGCGTCAAGAAATTATACGAAAGACGTCCTAAATACCAATTAGATCATATTGTAAAAGAAAGGTGTTTATTTTGCATGTTTCAGAAATTTTATACATTATGTAGATGTTACATTTTACATACATATATTTAGATACAAGACCTTCTCCTGTTTTTCAGATATCCGACGTTCGAGTCAGCACTGCGGGATCTGGATGATGCATTGTGTTTGCTGTTTGCTTTTTCAGTTTTGCCTCATACTAAAATTATTACTAGCTCTTTGGTGGAGTCATCTCGGAGGTTAACAGCAGAATTCAACCATTATATCATAGAATCGAAATCCCTCAACAAGTTTAGTAATTATATAGAATAATTGTCCACATATTCCTTATGATTCAGCAAATTCATCCTTAACGTTTTTATCATCGCTGAGTCGCAGATTTCCATTTGATTTAGTTCATTAATCGTTAGTGATATTGACGAAAATCTGATAGATTCTGATATTTTTTAAGATGCTTATTATTTTACAACTTCTTCAGATGCCTTATAAAATGTGGGAACTTATTCCTATTTCAGGTTTTTGTCTCGATTAAGGGAATCTATTATGAAGCAGAAGTGATGGGTGAACGAGTAACGTGGATTGTGGGTCACGATAGAGGCGTAGGACATGTAAGTGAAGTGGATTTTTCCGTAATGGCAACATTTGCGGAGTTTTACGTTACAATGCTCGAATTCGTCAACTTTCGACTTTATCAGTCAATCGGACTCTTTTATCCGCCTAAACTGGCTTTTAAGTCAGATAAGGTTGTTTTTATATTGCGGCATTTCTTCTTTTCATCTCCTTCATGCTTTCCTTTATTATTATATTCCAAAAAAGTCCCATTCATCTTAGTATCTTCAGCAACTTTGTTTTCAGTCTGATGATGATGATCAAACTGAACAGGGAAAAGTATATAGCTTAGCATGTCCACTGTCAAAATTTGACAGTTATGAGGAACAAATTGATGCCAATATCGATGACGCAATCCATAATGAACTGAGTGAAAAGCTGTGTGATGTCGAAAAGAGGAAACAGTTGTTCGTAAACTGTCGTTTTTGGCTAAATCGTGAAGTTCCAAAGGATGTTCTTGCGATTATTATAAGGTTATTTTCAATTTTTGTAGAATATATCTTTGCACATTTTTGTAGATTAAATGAGACTTTTTTTTCTGTAGAATTTTTGTAATTTTGTAGATTTGTCGATCTTCGTAGATTATGTCCATTCTTTCTTTGATAGTATGTATCGCATTCAGCCTCATTTATATCATGAAGTTTCTTTAGTGACTTATATTTATAGAAGCTGTGGTGGCTTGGTTTCTTGGGAACATTGTCCGGCGGCACAATATTATGAAAATGATGCTCAGATTACACATCAAATAGTCGACAGGCCACTGCTTGACAATCAAAGAAATCTCAACAGGTATTTTAATTTTTACCATCTTCGAAAGCTTTTCGCCTCCTCTTATTTCCCTACAGATAAAGGGAAATGATTCATCAATTAACATTTGTAGGAGACCATACTGTTCGTGCAAAGATAACATGCTGCCGTTATTTTTATTTTTCGTTTGCATACAAAATTTGCAGATGCTACATACAACCGCAATGGGTTTTCGATAGTTTTAATAGACGAAGTCGACTTCCAGTGAAGAAGTATCTTCCTGGTGCAATATTGCCACCTCACTTGTCACCCTTTTCCAGTGACTACAATATTTACGAAGAGCAGCTCAAGCAATTGAAGCTGATAGGCAAAGGTTCCTTTTCCTAGAGCTATTATTGAGAAAAGTTTCGAAAAATAACTTTTCCGAGGTATTGATTAAACGATTTATCTTTGACGTTCCAAACATCAAGTAGTAAATCTTAATTTCTAGCATCGTCAGGCGCTACTGATAAAATGAACACTGAAGGGGAAAGCAAGATGCAAGAAAAGAAAAAAATTCAAAAAGAAGAAGAGGTACCAACTATGAACGTTAACAAAGGCCGAATGCATAAAGAGAATTTACAGAAGAAACTGAATGAAGAGGTGAAAATGATTATTCTTTATTTGTTTCAATAATGCTAATTTCTTCCTAGAAAGAGAGAGGCTAAATATGTTGGAAGCTACCGATCACCACCTTTTAAACTTCACTTAAACGTTCTATGAAAATAATTTTCATAACCTATTCCGGAATATTGATATTTTGAAAACGGGGTATTCAACGTGCTCTGAACATTGGGGACGTAGATTTCGGGAGATATACAAACTGGTTGTGGATTAAATGCTGCTTTTTTTAGGGACATAAACTTAAGCTACGTGAAATGCTCATACCGAAAAAACGTAGAAGAGTTTATTCCAAAATCAAGCGAGGAATTAAACGCCGAATTCATGAAGAGAAAAAGTTAAATGAGAAGAGATTGAAACTGTTGGAAACAGTGAATTGACAGCTGCATTCTATTTGTTAAAATTATTGAATAAATTGTTATAAAATATTCAAGCCTGATGTATTAGTTTGTCAGAAAGCAAGCAGATCATACAGGTTCATACAGTGAAAACTTGGGTTTTGATCTGATCAAATCCATGTAGTCATGTCTTGGTACTAAATGACATATTTTGATATGGCGGATTTTTAAAAGGCACAGAGCTATTTATCGACAAGATCATAAGATCGAATTCAAATCTTTGAGCGAAGGCGATATAATTTAAGGATAAAACTAAAATAGATCAATCGAACCAGTGATTCCACTGACAATCTTCACTCCATGATTTGACGCACAAAAAGCACCAATGTTCACCACACTGCAAACAGTGCATGTGAGCGCAACCACCGCTCCGTTCTGTTTGAGTGCCACAAGAAGGACATCTGCGACACGTACGCTCGATGATTTTCTTAGTCGCATCAGATTCCAAACAAATACATTCTAACTGTCGACACAAGCCACAGAATGAGAAATAACATTCCGGACAAGTTATCTGAAAACAGTTTTTGGCTGAAGCCTGATTAAATTGTAAAACTGTAATCATCGAAAAAATCCGAAAACGTATGTACTACCTACTATTATAATCTTCCAGCATACCCGACATCCGAATCAGTGTATTAACACACCTTATGATTTGATGGAGTGAACTCCCATAGGAAAGAAGCACCACAGTTTGCTCGTGGGCAAAGCATTCCTTCCTGTTCCAGAGTAACGAAACGTTCTGTTGCTTGTCGCTGATATTCATCATAATTCGATTTGCCCAACAAATAAAAACAATGCGTGTCGACAACACAACCTGTATTCATAGAAATCATTAGCATTCTACAAACTGTTAACTTTCCTTCATTCAATCATTTTCTTATTGAAAAACTTTTCTGCCACTCCGCTGACAATCGTTTGCAGTGATTTCAAAGATAACACTTGTAAAATAATAAAAAAACAGAAATCCATTCCGTTCACGCTTCCGAATATTTCTAAAATTAAACTATAAGTAATTATATATGTTGCTAACCATGACAACCATAGACCGGACAACCAACGGTGTAACCATTTGGTGGGATAAATTCAAACTTATATTCAACAAAAGCTGTTTTGATATAAGTTGAGAAACATTCCACGCATGTGTAATGCTGACAGTTCAATTGTACAACAACCTACAAAAATGAAGTATAAAGAATATGTACACTGAAGATTTACTTTGAATTTTAAACTCATCTCTTCAAATCAGTTATATCGAGATCAAAGCGAAATTTTTCCTAAAATAATACAGCTTTTTTACCATTGCCTTTTCTCTTCTAGAAAAAGCAAATTTATTTGATTTTAATGAGAAGCATTAAATTCACTTTCATATGCGAATCACAACATATCGAACAACTGCCTGATCCACTGGAATTTCGAATATGTGTTAGGGGTACTGCTATCTAAAATAGGTATACATGTACATTATGAAATAGAAATCTATAACAATTTCTAACGTAACATAAGATTTCCAGTAGATGAGCTGCAATGCGTAATCGAATAGAACTGTGAAGAAAAGAATCAATAACGTACCTCGCCACAATCGATGCATTTGAAACAAAAACGTGCTGCCGTCTCCTTCTCACAATCTTTACAATCGGCTTGTATGGTATTTCTAAAGAAAAGCATTAAAACATCAGATCCTTCTTACTTGCTGTTTCGTTTAAACACTACAATATGTACAGATAAAGATGCTTCAAGCAATCTCATCCCACTGAAATCATCACTCTTTTGGCTATTCTTATCCTCTTTCAAAATTTTAACTTTACTACAGTGACGAAGCAATCTACTTAACTACTTCACATTTAAACGACAAAAGCAATAACTTACATTAGAAGGACATCATTCCAACAAGAAGGCTCTCTAGTGAGAATCAGTGAACTGGATGAACATTCAACACAATAAACCCGCAATTTACCATTTTTCAATGAATTGCACTTCTTACAAAAGACCTTAAACGATGTGATTTCTGATGATTTGTTGTATGCGGGCGATGATGATGATCCACTCTTGTGCTTATCATCTTCTTCTGATGAACGCAGTTGAGTAACTACTGCTGTTAGTGAGCTAAAAATAAAAATACTGGAAATTAAATGAGAATTTTACTGAAAAATAATTCGGAATATTAATATTCACATATTTAATCTAACATCTGAAGCAACATTCAAAACTGAAGTTAACATGAGAATGATATGGAAATATGCCTAAAAGTCAAAAATACTTTAAGATAAGGAAAAGAAGATACTTACGTTTGTGGTCCAAGAAAGAGGGCACCGATTGGTGTATCGCTGGTCAATTTATTTCCACAAAGGATGAGACGAAAACTGGAATGTGGAATGCCAAGCTTAGCCGATAGCTTGTTTGCCACATCACCAACAGTACCATCATCGTCCACCTCGAGGATAACATCTCTGGATCGACCGATATCACTTCTATAATATGGCTCTCGATTCCATACCGCAATCAACAATTGCATTTCATCCTTTGCAACAGAAAACTGTCCGAACTGAAAAAAAAAAACTTCGAGAATATCCCTGAATTAAATAATCCTAAGATTGTTCCCTCTAGCCAAGAGTAATCAATTCTCATGTTATGTGGCAGACCAGAAGTCTGAACTGCAACTCAGGTTCAAATCCTCTTCAGCCTCACAGCTTTTAAATGCTCATTACGAAACAGATGGGTTCATGTCAATCATTCCATACATCGAGCCTTTTAAAACACCTTCTCAGCATTATCATCAGAATTCCCGAACTCTCGACTAACCCTCTTTAAAAGGATGTGAAGCATAAGATGAAAAGCAAAATGGAATGAATGGATGACTACCTGCTAGGAATTGTCTCCTAAAGAAGGATCAGTAGAGTACATTTCAAGTATCTGTAAGAAAAGTGATGACAGTTCGATAAATCCTCTAAAATTTATTAATGTATTGCTTTTTTTCCCCTATAACTGATATGAAACGCTAAAGTTGTCTTTTATCTGAGAGTATTATCAATTGAACAGGCTCAAACAGTTTTCTGTGATGAGAGCAAAAAGAGTCCTTAAGAGTCACAGTCCATCTCCCTTCAGGGCCTTACTTCGATCCCATTTACTATTTCCTGTCTTGCAACACTCTGCTACTATACGCATGCATTATGCATGTAGCATACATTTGCAAACATGATGCGTGCATAATGAATAAAATATAATCATGGATTGATTATCTATTTATTTAGTAACATTAACCAATGCATACCTGAATATCAAAAGTTATGTACTGTTTTTCTACATATTACAAAAAAAGAGAATTGTCAAATTTTAAAATTTGCTTTAAAATAGCTAAAAAGATTGTGCTTCTTTGAGTTTTGTTTATATTTACATGTTCTTTTATTTGTTCGTTTGTTCCAAATCATTAGAATTATAGTATAGAATGAAGAAAAAATTTGAAAATTATGACGAATTAAATTAATTGAATTAATAGTTTTTATTTAAAAGTCTTTGTTTAAATCAAATACATTATAAAATTGAAATAAAACTGGAAAATTATTAATGTATTGAATAGGATACATACTTGTATGTACATATGAGAAAATTGAGAAAAAATTAAATTTTCTGAAATTATTTCAGGAAAAATTCTCAGAAATATATCCTTGATAGAATGCAATCAAAAATTTGTTACATTTGGAAGTGCTATTTTTTATTAGCAATAATAATGTTTGATGACCAATCATTGTAATGTGGAATTGCTATCTGTATTCAAGTGAGCAGTTTTCTGTTTTTATTTGCATTTTTTTTTCTCTTAACGATCCATCGCAAAAAGGAGAAGAGGATAAATTTTGTTTTAAAATGAAAATACAACTAGACTGATTCAGAATGTTCATGACTTTGAATTTCATATTGAAACAAAATTTTCAGGCTTATGATAATATTATAAGTGAATCCGATTGAATATTAAAAACAGTTTACAACATGAGTGCAACTTTTCCTCATTCTCTAAATGGGTGAATTTGTTTCGAGATGCAAATTTCCATCTTAAAAATACCATTTCCATCTTAATTAATTGAGAGATCGCTAAGGTTGCTATATTTAAATATTGTATTAGCTGGAATCTTTGCTTTTTACTTTACAAGATAAAGTTGAAAGAAGATATTTATGATATATTACATTTGAAAGAACCAATACAGCATTATATCTGCTTGAGAAAAAATTTCTTTTGCATTTTCCAATTTATTTTTGAGGTTTTGCATTCTGCAAAATATATAGCCTGATTGTTAAGCATTTCTTTATGAAACCATTGGAGTTAAGCCATTTCGAAATAAAAATTAAGCCTAACAGGAATTAGCATCATTATTACTGCGCGTATCGTTGTTAGCGCTTCAGAAGATGCCAAATTCTTCATCAAGAAAATTATACAGTTAATCCTTTACAACCAATCACACATAAGTTTTAGTATGTTTCCTTGGCCATTAAACCATACAGGCATCTCTTGGGAGGCAAAAAGAGGCAAAAGGACAAAAAAAGAGAAAGGAATCAAGAAAAAATTAATTCATTTAATGAAGCCTAATGGATTCTCAAGATAATCAAAGATTTTGATGATGATGATAATATGAGGAGGAAAAAGAAAATACTCCTTTCTTTACAATCCAATTCCGTTGATCGTAATCAGCAAAAGCTTAACAGCCAAGAGATGATGAAACAATATATGCTTGGCCATCGTCATTTTTTGTCCTTCTTTCACACTTTCAATTATATTTTTGCAAAAGTATTACATTAAAACGAATGAGAAAAAGAAAATAAGGAAGGGAAGTTGTTTTCCCGAGAGAGTTTGGTTTTAGTGATCGTAATCCAACTCCGCCCTCCTGACTAATTTCTAAAACTCTCAACCAACGGAGTATATGTAGTGGTTCTCAACTTAGCTTCTTGAAACCATTTTATTGAAAGCTCTATCATCACCATCACCATCATCAGTATCACTCCTTAAACTTCGCAATGAAAGGTCTCGTTCATCATCTCTGCTTCACCACTCTTATCACTGCATTGACAATCATTAGCTGTATGCAATATACAGCTGGACAGTTACAAACTTGTTCACAGGTATTTATTTATTCCTTTTTCTTCCGTCTATCACATTAGCATTAGTCTGAAACATTTGATCAACAAAGAAATCAATCATTGTCAGATGAACATATCATTTCATTATAACAAGTATGATCCACCATTTTATCAGTGGTAGTAAATTCTATTTATTGCTGAATAAATAAACACTTATCAGAAAATACTTTTTATAAGGAATTTTCAATTAGGCACTTCTTTGAAAAATTTTAGGCTATTTTTTTGTTCTTATCGTTTAGTTCAGAAAAGTTTTTCAGTCCTTAAACAGGACATTTTACATATATTGGCAGCTTTTCCTTCTTTCAACAACTAAGTGTTATCCGTTCAGGGTATTTTCAAATTTATTCCATTAGTTTTGATTTTCATTTCTTTTCGAAAATGGATAGTAAGCAAAGGAATTCTATCATATATCTTTAATATATCTTTTTACAGTGTTTGTTTCAGCTGTTTTCTTTGAAACTAATAGAAGAAATAAATAAATTTATAGCTAAATTTTGAATCAGATTCTCAAAAGTCTTTCACAATGCGTTGCATAATTGAATTTTCAAAAAATTTTCTGATGTTAATAGTGAAATTTACGGCTTCAACAAAGTTTCTTCTGTTCTCAAAATGAATCAACGATTTTATTTTTTAAGATGAAAATCAGTAATACATAATTAGGTACCTTTGATTTCAGTTGTACTGTGTAAGATTAACCTTCAAGTAAGTACAACTGAAAAATATTTACATTTGATATGAAAATATTAATTTTACATAGTTCTTTGCAATAATATCTGCCTCTTTAGAAATTAATGAAAAGGATTAAATTTTACAAAAAGATGATGTATGAATTGTTTTAAATTAATGAGCAATATAATCGAAAATTTTTTTCTTTTTATGTAATCAAAATTTTCAAAATATTTATTTCAAAAATGTCTATTTTTCAGCAATTTTTTGATAGTGGGAATTGTTTAAAAATAAATGAGTAGCGAGATTTTCATGCATGGAAGATTTTACATTTAATGCCGCGAACAAATTGAAAGGAGCAATTCTTTGAGACCAATTAATTTCAGTTGACAAGCAAATTTCAAAAATGCTTCCATTCAATTATTTTTATTTTTCATCCCTTAACTACCTTGACCAACTTTCGTAACTCAACCTTTCTAATCATAGCATTTTTTGCTAATTATCCTATCAGGACTGAAATAAAAATTCACTTGCATTCTAAATCGCATATCATAATTTTTTAAAATAACTTATCTATTTTGAAATGCACTGCAATTTAATTTTTTTACAAATTAACCACTGTTTTATTGCACAATTTCTATCGGACAATAACATCTGTAGAAATTTTGTGAATTGTATTGAACAACAAAAGATCGATGTTTATTTCTGTTGCTTTAATGATACCGTGCATTTTACATTACTTGAATTACTGATCCACATAGCACTGTAATTCAACGATTTTAGAGATTTGATTCGATAGCAACAGTTTTTTTTCTCAACCATTCTTATCAGTTAATCTTTCACCTTTCACCAATTTCTTCTCAATGTGATATGAATTCTTTGAATAAGCCTTGGTTTATGGATGGATGAATAAAATTGCTTGTCATTACACAATTTTGTTGGAATTTACAATTAGATCTGTTTAATCTTCAAATTTTGTTACTTTCTCTTTAATTTCCTTTCATCTTTTTATTATTATCTCATAATTTTTATCTCTTTCCCCATCAACCCTCAATTTGCTTTATTTCAACTTTCTAAAAACTTTTTATGGAAAGAAAAAAATACAACATTACCAATGAATATTTCGAAGTTGAATTAGCTTAATTCGAGTAAACTACAGTAACTGCTTACAGCTTCACAGAAATTAATGAAAAGGCTTAAGTTTTGTAAAAAGATAATGCTTTATAAGCTGGAATATTTTTTCTTCTTTTCATTTATTTTATATCTTTTTTCTTTCCACAATCAAAAATTTCGAAATATTTATTTTACAAATCTATTTTTCTACCAATTTTTTGACAATGAGAATTGTTTAAAAATAATTGAGTGGTGAGATTTTCATGCGTAAAAGATCATACATTTAATGTCGTGAACAAATTGAAAAAAGATCAGTTCAACTCAGTATATAAATAGTACTAAACAATAGTAATTATGAACATTAAAAAAATAGCATTTTATATGCTTTGGTCTAATTATCTTCAAAAGATGCTCATTGCAGGAATACAAAAATAAACAATTACTTACATCTCTAACTGATAAAATATATGATATGAATGCAAATTGATAAATGAATAAGGGAAAGTATATAAATTCAAATTTTTCTCAGCAATAAAATCATCCGAGCGTTTTGCTCTTAAGCTTATTAATTCTCTTTGAAATCTATATTTTATTGAAATTTCGAAATTTTAAAATAATTGCTAAATGTAATATTTGTTCAAGCATGATGAAAAGCGGTATCACAAATTGATATCATCTAATAACCTGGTATTCTCATATATCAAAGGATCCTCCAATCACACCTATCCATAAATACTATTTATAGTATAGCATAATTAGTGTGCACATAATATTTCATATATTCTCATAACATAAATCTTTATCAGATTAGATGTAATCAAATAGGATCGATAAGAGAACAAATTACAATGAAAAGGTTTAATTAGGATGAAAGCGAATTTAATAGTCCCTAATGATTGCAATATTTGTCCACATTGAAGAAAAAAATAAGTTGGAACATTGCTAAAAGATGAAAGGGTTTAAAGCAGCTCACGAAATCTATTGACTAACAAAATTCCGGAAGAACAATCGGTTGTAACAGATTCAGTGATAGCATGGCGAGTTTGCTGAATCGGTCGTGAGTGATTTCAATGAAATACATCAAAACATCTATTTTTTTATTTTGCTTAACATGTAATTTTTCGTTGAAATCTACACAAATTTTAAAAATTTCAATATTCATCGTCCAAATTATTTTCATTTGATAAAATTGCGTTTATACATTTCAGCTGTCCTATCGTCCAACATCATATGAGAATCTTTAACTTTAATAAGTATTCTTTTAGCTAAAAAACTGCAATCTGTTTTGTCAATTTACAAATTTGACTAAACTCATAGATTAAAAAATTGTAGTTCTTCATTTTCAAGCAAACAGGGAACTATCAATAATTTCAAGCGAAAATTTGAATTTTCAAATTTGTCCACCACCAAAGAATTATCAGTCCAACATTTTTGATTTATCGAGAATGAGAAACTTTTCAAAACAAATTGCTGGATTCTTGAATAAAACATGAGGACATTCGGTTCATTAGAAATTAAAGGATCGTTTAAAATGTGTTTAACAACATAGCTATCCAAAATATCAAAATAGATATCTGTAATTACGTATATGTATAATTAATTGAAAACAAATGAATCGAAAAAGAAAATTTATCTTTTTTGATAATCCGAACTAAAAATATATTATTTTACTACTTCATAATAAGTTATGTTATTTTTTGAACACTATTAAGATAAAAAATCATTTGTCGAAATGTTTACTTTCTTCTTGTGGAAAATTTATGATAATTTATTGATTTTTTTCTAACAATACTGAACAATGAAATTGTCACGAAATTTGAAAAAGTTTTTATTCAATCTTTTTTTGGGTCTTTTTGAATCAATCAAACATTTGCTATATTTGTCATATTTTCTTGACAATACCCATAAAATTTCAAATATATAACATTCATCCATAAAAACTATCGTTAGAACGGATCAGATATCGGAGAAATCTCTTCTAAGGATGATATATTATAATTTTTGAAATTTAGTATTAACTATAATAATGAATAAATATACTTCAATAAATGATAAAGGTAACGGATAAGATTGTAAAGTGTTTATATTTGACATCTTTTGAGAAATAATAATATAAAAGCTTAATGAAATAATGAAATCTCAAACAATTGGATTATAAATGAATATTATATATATATACATATGCAGTAACATTCGGAAATTTGGATAAGAAAAAGAAAAAAAAAAACAATGAACAGTTTGGTAATGACAAATATTGCGAAGCCATCTGTGTCCCGATGGAGAAAGCGGCGGTAAATACAACAATGTTTAATTGCTTATTTAAAAATCTAATTCAAGCAAAACAACGAGGAGGAGAAGGGAGAGGAACAGATAATGCTATAGTTAGCAGAAGGATTCATTTATTTAATTCAATTCAATGTTTTTTTTTCACTTTTAAATACAATAAAATTTAACAAAACAACAGTGATTTCTTACAACAAATCATATATTCGATAATAATTTATCGAATATTTTTTCAAATAGGAAATAAGACGAAATAATTTGCAATTTGAGAATTATTTTATGTTTCATTCAATAATTTGCGTTTTTTTTTCTTACAAACTGTTTCATCATATGCTTTTTTTTATATTTCATGAATTTTACATTTTCTTAACTTTTTTTGTAAATTAAGATGAAGTGTAAAAAATTAGGATAATAGAAAAATTAGGATAATAAAAATGATATAATTAATTTGTTGCATTTAGATAATTGCATCATCAACCGACGCAAATGACAAGGTGCTGCTATGTCAGCTTTATGAAAGTTCATCATTATTGGCTGAGCTTGGCATTTTCATTTCTAAGGATGTCGAAAAACTTTTGGCTAATGAAGGTACAATTTTATATCATTTTCAAGCTAGAAATTACATCAAACAATTTCACCAACGATTATGCAATTGTTATTTTCGTATTTCGTATCTGCACTGAAAAGCAATTAATTTAACAATGAAAATGAATCAATTCATTCAGTGATTTGCTTTGTCTGAATGGCTAATAGTTCTGGAACAAAAATATTCACAAATTTGAATTTAACGAGAGGGGTTAAATTCATGGATATTAAGCTAAACAAGCAAAATCGCATACCGCCTAATTCGTTCCACTTAATGATAAATAAAATTATCAAAAAATAGTTCTGAAATCTGAAATTTCATCTAGCTGTGGAAATGAACTTCGAAGAAAATTTAAAAACCATTTTTTAAATTAGTTTTTCAATTTGTTTTATGATAATTAGATGGTAAAATCGAAATGACAATTTTAAAATATCCATAAAATTCAAAATTGTAGTTTTTAGATATCAAGAATTTTCTTCTTTTTTTTAAAAAATGATATTCAAATCAATCAATGGCTAGAACTTCGCCATTTTTAATTACATAAAGTTTGCTTGATTGACTTAAGTTAAAGTAGGATAATAAAAAAAATTGATCTCTTGTAAGCGAGTTGTGTACATAAACCTGTTGTAGTTGTAAGTTCAAATGTTCAAAATAGCTATTTCCATTCTGGTTATCTATTAAACTTCTGCTAACAATTAATCGAATTCTTTCAAATGCCAATTGAAATAAATTAATTAAAGGTGATAGTAATAATTACAAGCTTTAACAGTAGAAGTGATTACAGGTGTGACAACAGATGAGGTGCAAGATATCGAAAAGAGGAAGCATGAATATCTGCGATTCGGTAAGCGAAAGCACGAATACTTGCGTTTCGGGAAAAGGAAGCATGAATACTTAAGATTTGGTCGTAAGTAGTTAAGATCAAAGTTCTCACTGCATCCAGGCGTTTTTTTCAAGTTTATTTATGTATATGTTGTATATCATTGCAGTGTTTTTCCCTACATGACATTTATTTCCGGAGCAGATGACGTCAATAAAAGCAAAGTTACGTTTTCTTATCACATATAACTTATCAGACTTAAAAAAAACTGAATAAAAATTCGGTGACGCTTAAGCTATGACCATATCGTTCCAAAATTATTGTCGCATTTCTCGATTAGCTAAGAATGCGAAGTTGTTGTGACGTTAAGGTCAGGTTAGTATATGTTAGAGAACATATATTTTTCAAGAGTGAATGACTGATTAAATGAAAGGGTCTATAAATGACTATATTTGATATAAAATACGTGATCATCAGTGCATTACATTGCATTGAATGCAGTAATCTGAATTTATTAATACATTGGTATTGTGCGTTTCAATCTTACAATTAATGAGGAAATATCTCAAAAAATTGGTAAAGAATTTCGTATTACAAGCGGATAGTAAGCAATAAATGTAATCAATCATATATGGTAGATATGATAGAATTGATAAAATTGTCACATTAAAGTTTTATACTAATAAATTTAAAATAATGCAAATTATCTAATGTAAACAAATTTTCTCTTCTATCCTTTTATTTCTTAAAAATACACACAAAATCACCATTTAAACATTAATTTTCTGAAGAAAACTAATTGGTAAGAGTTAAAATAATTACGAAAATAGGATGTCCAGATGGAAAAGATATGCTTGTAATTTAATAACAACTAACATCGTTATCGTTAATCAAATCATTAAAATGAATAATAGAGCAGTGTTGTTAATAATCCTCACAAATAACAATAATAACACAAACAAGACAAATATACGTGTATATAATTATTTACACGCGTTAGTATAAATATATGGAAGCAATCATAATTACAAATACACAACCATTAAACATTGAAGAGTAAATAATAATCATTAAAATAATCAATTATTTCTGAAACCATATACACCTCATCATATCCTCGTATTATGCGGATAATGCGCACTAACATATTTATTGTTCCGTTCCGGACTGAACACTTTTTCCGTCATAAGATTTAAACAAAAAAGTGCCATTATTGCCAAATATAGCGATACAATGATACCGGCACATGCCTGTAATTATAGAAAATCGTCAACGATCAAAATATGACTAATTATAAATGAAATTATTTGTAAAATATGATTATATTATGATTGAAACTATTAACATTCAATGTATATCTCTTTTCTTTAAACAAAGTTAAAAATCATTTTGGAAAAATGAAGTATTTGAGGAATAGAAGTATTTTTAAACTTTTCTTAAGCAATATGGACATATACTGTTTAAACTCTTTCCAAGCGACATGGAAATATATTAATTGGAAATTATCATAAAGTAGGAAAGATTCACAGCAATCCATCCGAAACGTTCTCCAGTTTCGATGAGAGTTCGTTGAGAAATAGTGCCACCAATACCGCACACCAACATCCATGCAATCATTCCTGCACCAGAGAATATCACCTCCTGAATTATAAGCTATCAGTGAATTACAAGCTATCAACATCAAATTCACCCTTGCACATCAGCATCGATAAATGTGTCAACTCTATCACATTCTTCATCAATTCACTACTAGTAATAATTTTAATTTATTTCATATTTCAGAATTAAAAATAAACTGGAAACTCTGTATAATCCCATGAAATAGCAAATATCTCTCATTTCTTTCTTAAATATATTCCTAAAAAATAATTTCGCTTCTTTTTTTTCCAGTAAATTTAAGCAATCCATCACAATTACTGTATCGTTTTGTTGTTTGCATTTATTTGATGACTTTTCGTCTCTCCGATATGGTCAGTATAAAAAGATGACCAATCAATCTATTTCAATGACCACTCGGAAAAAATAAACATGTAAAACTTGCAGTGATCGAGCAATTTGTAAGAGATATCGTTCTTCGTTCGCCTATTTTTTGACGATTTACAATAAAATACATAATAATTGAAACGATGCAATGAAGTAAAGTAAGTGATGAAATGATATAAGTAAGAACAATTTCATAGTTCACTGAAATATAAGCCACCGTATATTCTGGATCGAGCAGAATCAATACTACTATTGTTAAAATCTGAAATTACTTCAATGAACTGCGTAATGACGGAAGTAATTTTTATTGTTAATGGAAAGAAGAAAGAAAGGTTAAATATTTGCAAATTAATTTACTCATAGAATTCAAAAATCATTTTTTTTTTCAGAGTATGGTAAAACAAAGCTTGATCTTATTTTTTTTTAATCAGTTAAACTTATAAATGAATTAACAACTTTTATTTCATTAGTCTTTTCCAATTTCAAGTCTCATTAAATTAATATAAAGCTCTCAGATTTAAAACTTTATTTCTTTTTTTTAAACTCTAACAAAATAAAATTGTATATTTAATTATTGCTGCATGAAATGTTATTATGTTTAAATTAGTATTATTTTTTAAACAATATCACTCAAAAAAAAAATTCCATTTAACTAATGCAAAGTGATTTTAAAACTTCGCAAATGAATTAAATCCATTTCTCCATACACAATTTATGCATTATAAGTGTAACAGTGAAGAGATGAAAAAAATTTTAATCCAGTCTACAATAGGATACTTACTTTAATACGAATAATTTAAACACTATATCAATTCATAATTTCCTTTAAAAACATTCTACTATATATCAGAAAGAAATACTACATTATATTATAACCACAATTAATCAATATGTAGGAAAGAAATACTGTATTGTATTATGACTGTAATTAATTAATTAATATGGATAAATTATGTATGAATTAATAATAGTCTATCTTGAAGATATAATAGATGTAGTAATGAGTGATAAGAAAAATGACTTACAACAATGAGAATTTTGATTGCTGCACAAATAATTAACTGTGTCGGCATAGCCATAATGAATTGAAATGAAAGAAAGATAGAATAGAAGAATGTGGAAAGCGCTTACAATGTGATGATGACGATGTATGATAGATATTTGCTTTCTGACTGAGTCATTCTGTCAATATTTGTAAAGATTGTGCAATGTTAAAGGCATAGCAATCCTCTGCATTCATTCTTCACAATTTCACTTACCTCCACCACTCATCCTCACAAACGCTGTGAAGGTATGCATGCATATTATATGGTTAGAAAATCAATAGTCCTCATCTCTTTTTTATTTTTCACTTTAGTTAATTTAGAAACTATTTTTTAAAGATGAATTGTTTTTCGTTCAAAAATGTCAACTGATTGCATACTATTGTAATCTGGTTTTGAACATTTTCTCAATACATTGCTAATTTATTTTCATCCGCTAGAAAAGCTCTATTAGCACTATCGGTTTGGTTTCACATGGATTATTAATTTACGGCAATGAC